ACGCTTAAGCAAGGTCAGGGGTTCGAATCCTGCCTTGTGTATGCAGCCGCGTTAAATCTTGGGGCCAGCTATCTCACCCTTTGAGGTGCCTCCAACGTAGCGAGGAGATTAGTCACTGCAGTCGGCGGTGGATACTCCAGGGACGAACCAAAAAAAAAAAAATAATAATAATAATAATAATAATAAAATAAGAAATAAATAATAATACACTACATAACTTAAGAAAAATTGTGTTGATAGTGTTAACTCTTTCTATCTTCTCACGTGCCATCATTCGTTTCGCTAATAATGATAACATTGTATTACTTTACTGTTATTTCACCCTAATGCATTATCATTTGTTCTCCAATGTTTTGCTTCATGTTTTTTTTTTAGCTCTCCGTTTGTTTCATTTGTTTTATAACTTATAAGGAAAATTGCGTTATTATATGATCTTTACAAAGTTAAATATTCTATTTTTATAATTTTTAAATACTCACCAACATATTTGTTAAGTTTAATATTTTTCTCTTCATCCATATATTTGGAATAATTAACCGCGTGTTTGAATTCGCGTCAATAATTCACGTCTTGACGAATTTGACGCAGAAGTAAGATATGATAGATTCTTATTTTCACGTTTTGTACGCACGTTGAGTTCACTAAACGTCAATCCAAACACAGGTTAAATATTTATTTTTTATAATTTTGATTTTACTTTTGAAAGTTTTTTTATATTGTCAATCAATCATATATTTTAATAGTGTCATGTCATTTATTTATTTAATCAAATTAAAATAAAAAAGATACTATTAAAATATATGATTAATTGTTAGTATAAAAAATTTTATATTAACCGTGTATAAGGATTAAGTCATATAAAATTATTCTTGTTTTTCATGATTTTAATATTTTGGTCTTATAACTATGTTTTTCTATTTTGAGATAAGATCAAATGCATAACTTCAATCCATGATTTATCCTCACTTGGAGAGCACTATATCAATTACATAATTCTATATAAAGAGTTTTACTATTTAACTATAGAGTTAGAATCTTATATACAAGATTTTAAATTTAAATTTTTTTGTTGTCTTTATAATTTTTTTTGATAAAAAGAAATAATTATGGGTAATATTTTAACAGATATTAAATATGTAGTATCTTTTAAATATTCTTAATCGTCTCAAAACAGTAAAACGTTAAACAAATTTTATCCATAAAGTATTTATGGATAAATATTTTAACTTTCATTCTCCTGACCAACTGCTTACAGCATTTGCCTAATCGCAACAAAGAAGAGGATAAATTAATCATCTCACATTAATTAAAATTTTACACGATTAGTTATTTTTCTGAAGCAACACATAATAAGAGTTTGCATCATGTAAGAAAATATACAGATAAAGTTCATGTATATATATATATATATGATCTGTTACATGGATTTGGTAACTGAATTAATTTACAGTAAATTTATTTGTGACAGTTGTGTACTCTGATGAGTCATCTGGGTCTCATCACATGGTGACTCAGCATTCCACATAATAGTAGAAAGCATCGAAACGCAACACATTGCCATACACCATTCCGTTTCTTATCATTCTTCCTTCTCTCAACTCAACCCATCTTCCTCACCCACCACAAAACCAATCCAAAGATATAGGGAAGTAAGGAGTTAGAGTTAGACCCTTTTTTGGTCTGAAGAAGGAGACATTAGGAGAAACATGGAAATGATGGCATACCAGTTTTCTCGGTTACCTTACCTGGATTCACTCAAACTGCTCGAGGCTGATATACAGCATGCAAATGCTTTGTTGGTTTCATTTCTCTTCTCTTCATCTTAACATCTTTTGTTCTTCTTCTTATGTTGGTGGTTTTTTTTAATGAAAATTAAGGATAATGAAAAAAGGGGGGTTCTTGGTAGAGACCAGTTTTGACTTGATTAAAGGCTTTATGACTTGAAATGGGCGGTTATCATCACCTGTTACTGATTGAGATTGATCATCTTTAATTGCTTTATAGTGGTTGATAAAATACGAAATTTTGTGCTTTTTCATTGGATTTGTGTCTCTAACTGGAATTTGGTGATTAATTTGAATGAGAAGTTCTTTCTTTGGGACTATCAAATACTATTTTTTTTTGTCTGGAGCATTCTCTGAATTTCAATACTGGGTGTGTGCTCTCTAGAGCTGCTGCAATTCCTAGAGCAAAGGGTGGGACTCTTCTCCAAATGAAATTGGTTTGCAATCACTTGGCTCCTGTCTTTCTGTTGTTGCTGCAGTGGATGGAATGTTCTTGTACATGCTTGCTACACAGATATCTTGACCTCTTTCACATAGTTGTATACAAGGTGAGTTCCTAGATGTATGTTTCTAATTGATTAAACTATTATCTTTGCTCCTACATTGTCCCAATTTAAGTTTTAGGCCCTGTACAAAAAAAAATGTAAGTTTTAGTCCCTAAACAATTTGTCAAGTGGCAGAAGTTTTTGTTGCAGTTTTGTTCCACCAGAAAGTTTTGTCTGATATTAACAATCAAAATTCCACTTTTATGTATGTGTAGGGAGGGACTAACTTACAGTTATTTTTTTGTATAAAGACTAAAACTTCGAATGAAAATAAGTGACCAAATGAATAGTTTTAGCCTTTCTGGTTATTGAATAATTAAGCTGTTGATTTAACAAAATTGGTGTTGTGCAGTTCTTTTTCTGCTTTGGTATAGGTTTTCCAATGCTTGTAACTGACCCTTGTTTATCTTTTATTGTTGTTGCTGTTGCTGCTGTCTTATTTACTAAAGGTACACAATGATGGTAGATCGAATATGACTTCTCATGGAAGGAAAGCAACCATCAGGGACTTTTATGGTGCGTGAATCTTTGACTTTCAGAAAGCACCTTTTATTTTAGTCATTTCACCCTTATAAAAAAATATAAAGGTGCTCATTTTCTGGCTGCCTTTACTAACTATTTGTCGCTGTTTTTTGGGGTCAAAAATTGAATTTTAGCCGTCATACTGCCATCTCTCCAGCGGCTTCATGATAGCGTGGAGAAGTTGGACATTTGCAAGAAAGGGCATTCTAGCATAGATGGTTCATGTTATGGCAAGAAAATGATTGAAGGAGATGGGAAACTAATCAATGTCGATTTGGAAAGGGAAGATGAATGTGGAATATGCTTAGAGCCTTGCACCAAAATGGTTTTGCCTAATTGCTGTCATGCCATGTGCATCAAATGCTACCGAAAGTGGTATTTACTCACACTAAATATGCTCATGTAGTCACTTTATTGTATTTTCAATTTGGTTCATCAAAGAGTCTAGTTTAGTTGGTTAAACAGATTGTATGAGTTGTTATAAACTCTATGATGTCCCCAATATATCATTGACTTTCTATTCGGTAGACCGGTAACTATAGGGTGTCATTTCTTATCTACCGAATTTAATCATCAAAATACTTTCTGATAATTCGATTATAATGGATCAAAAGAATTTGGTTTATCATCATTTGTAATTATAATTGTAACACCTTTATGCTGATGTTTCCAACCTGCAGGAACACACGATCAGAGTCTTGCCCTTTTTGCCGTGGTAGCTTAAGGAGAGTTAATTCTAAGGATTTATGGGTACTCACTTGTAATGAAGATGTTGTAGATGCTGAAACAGTTTCCAAGGAAGACTTGTTGCAGTTTTACCTTTATATCAGCAGCTTACCTAAAGATAACCCGGATGCACTTTTCATAATGTATTATGAATACCTCATTTGATATATTATTTTTTTACTAAATAAGGAGAGAGAAAAAATGTACAGATAGGGAAATCCGGACTGCAAATGTGAATAGAGTCTGGTAAGAAATATTTCTGATCATGTAAGGCACAGCTCTGCTGAGATAATGTTATGGAATTTAACCTTACCTTGTGATGTATCTCCATTGTAGACGTAATATAGATTACTATTACAATTTACTTTGGACCAGTTGTTTGAGATCCAGTAATTAAGGTTTTCTAGCAAGTTAATTTGGATGTTGTGATCCACTATCCTGTTAAGTCTACATGTATGTTACTAAGAGCTTTTTCGATACAAATTTAGAAGAATTTTTTAAAAGTTTTTTGACTAAAAATAAAAGTTTTTTTTTTTTTAATAAAGAAGTTCTTTTAAGTTTGTATTCAAATATACTCTAAGGAAAAAACAATATGTTTATGTGAATTAATAAGAATTGTTATGTCATTTTTAGACTAAAAGGTGCATATAACTTTGGTATTAAGAAGTTTACAGCCAAAATGTGTTTTCTTTTTAGTAAAGAAGTTCTTTTAAGTTTGTATTCAAATACTTTTAAGTTAAAAAAAATTATGTCAGTTATGTGAATTAATGAGAAGCGATTATATAATTTTTAGTTTAAAAGATGCATATATTTTTCTTATTCATGAGAATCAAATTTTGGTATTAAGAAGCTTACAACCAAAAGGTGTATATGAATATCGGTGTATGCTTGTTAATGATAATCAAATTACAGTAAATAATTTATGTAGTGATGGTATAAATCTAATGACAAGCTAATATGTAGTTTTAAAAAAAAAACTAATGTGTATAAAAAAATTGCTAATTTTTATAATAATAATTTTAAAAATATGAATAATTATTTTTGATACATTCACAATGAAGGAAAAAAATTATACGTGTATAAAAGTTAAATTTAGAAAGAAAAAAATATTAGATAATGAGGTGTGTATAAGTTTAATTGTACTTTTTATCTTCCGCAATTAAAAAAAAAATTATTAGATAATGAGGTATATAATATGAGTTGTACTTTTTAATCTTCCCCTCTCTTCAAAGTTTTGCAATGTCTTACCTTCAAGATTTTTATTTTTATTTTTGAGTTTTGCACCGGCGGCCTCCCTTTCTGAATATTTTTAAAATATCATGAATTTTGCTTCACGTAACAAATTGTGGCGATCTGAAGAAAAATTTGTCACAAAATTATGTTAATTCTGATAATTTAAAGAAAAATTAATTGCACGGTTTTTCTTCATGGAGGAAATTTCACAATATTTTCTAAAATGGAGACAAAGATTGCAAAAAAAGAAAAATATTGAGCAAAATTTGTGATATTATAAAATATTGAAGAAAAAAAAAATATATATATATAAAAGATTCACTTACTTTAAAAATAAGTAATGTTAGATTTACTAAACTTAATAATGTATGTTCTATTTCAAATTTTAATGATCTAATTGTTAGGTTAAAAAAATTATATATAATCAAGTTTACAAATTTAAAAAAAATGAAAATTATATAATATTTTGTTATATAAATTTAAATTAAAATGTAAAAAAAATTTATGATTATTTATCAATTTGAATTAATGAATAAAATATTACATAATTTTTAATTTTTAAAAAATTTACACTTTATTTATTGATTAAAAATTTTAATTTAATAATATAATCATTAAAATTTGATATATAATATGAATTATTGAGTTGAATCGAGGAATTAATAACTAGGTTTATGAATTTATTGACATATTAATAATTTGTTTTCATCTCATATTAATAACGGGTTACTAGTTCGTTAATTCATTTTTATATCGTGTTAATTAATAATTGAGTCATTATTCATGGATTTAAAATTACATGCAACATTCGGTCTGCAAGTAACATTTTTGAAAATGGTAAAAATATGCATTTTGAAAGAAAGACAAATGATGAGGAATTTGCATAATCGTTGAACTATGTGTGATTTATTTATGATATATTCCCACGTAAATGTTGCTGCACAAGTTCAAGGACAACTTTAATTTGATTTATGTAAACTGATTCATAAGTGTTTTTAAAATGCAAAATATGTGTACGATGTCACAAGTTGTGTCCTACTTTGGCTTCTTTGGATAGTAATTATTAAACTTTGACAACGAATCTAGACTCGTATTTGTTCAAACACAGTTATTTTTTGCAACATCTTTCAACTACCCTTTTTTTTTTTAAGATACATAATCATCTTTCATTTTTATCCCTTCCACTTAACCATTATTATTTATTTTCACGTAACGATAAAAAGTTACATCTATTTTAATCAATGATGTTGATTTCTATAGGAACTTGCTCCCTAATTTTACGGCTTCACCGAAAACTGTTTGTTACTCTTCACTGAGTAATATTTTTAATCTCTAAATTATATATATATATATATATATATATATATATATATATTTATTTATATTTT